TGATACCCTCTAACGTTCCAGTGCATAATTACATACGTGACTGTAATAAACCTTTTTTTCCCTGTGGGTCTGCTTTGACTACATAGCTGCTTGACTGGAGCAAGAGGAATACTTTTTTGCAGCCTTTCCTGACTTCACCTTTAGGATAAGCACTGCTGCAAACTGAAAATGGATATTACACTAATATATCGCTTGAAGATTAAAATGTGACTTTTTCTCAACAATTTTCAGTTGCCTGATATAAAGGATCTACACCCTCTTCATAGACAGATAGTCATGTGAAGATGAGCTCTTTTTTTGAAAACTCTGTGGTCAAGAAGTGTATTTTATTTCTTTATGCCTCTGGACATTATTGAAAGGAACCTGGTTTTGGTTAATTGCAGACCAAAGACAACCCTGTCCCGATCAGTAACACCTGTCTGCTTCAAACTTTTCAAAACTGCAGGCTGGTTTTAGTGAGGATCTTCCCTAGGAACTGAACATTACCAAATTGAAAGCAGCGTGAACCTCAGGATAAGGCTCTGTTATGTCTTCTGCTTAAACTTCACTAGCAGGATGCTCTGTCCCACCTTAAGTGCTTCACACTCATTTCCAGTCTGGTTTTCAGGACCTGCTTTGGCAGGAGCATCCCTCCGAGCCCAGGGCCTGAGCAGCCCAAGTGGGAAGCCGAGAGCAGCTCTGGGGCCACTGTTCCCAATCTGCTGAGCAACGGACGAGGGATGCAGCCGGGATGTCGTGTTCTCAGCTGGACCCTCAGGGGCAGCATCCCAGCCCCGGAGCGGCCCTGGGGAGTGGGCACAGCAATTCAGCCCCACTTGTCTCGCAGGCAGCAGTGATACAGAGGGAGTTTCGAAGCTGTCTTTATTCATGAATCCCTAAATCCTTCTACTGCCTGCTGTTTCATATGTAGTATTATAGTATGGATCCTGAAAAGAGTGAAAAGCCACATCTGCCAACACAATGGGAAATCTTTTAAAAGTATACCTAAACCATCTCTAAGTAATAATTCCTACATGATTTTGGTTTAAAATAGGTCTGGAGAGGACATTTTTGAGTGTTTCTGACCATATATGATTTGGCCAAATTATTCTCATCTGGCACTGTCTTTATGATAAGTGTGATTTGCCCTTGCACTTGTAATTTTTTTTTTTTTGATGGTGTGGTTGTTCCTGAGACTTTTTTCCCATGAGGTTGCACCTATCAGCCCTCCAGGTTGTTTAAAACTTGCTTTCCTGATTAAAAAAAAAAATTTTCTTATTTTGCCCTTCTTTCATTCGCTTTCATTTTCATTCCACACTGTTTTATGATCCCTGTCATTTAGTTTTCCTTCTCAATGTGGTATAATATGTTCTCAGCATGATACAAAAACATCCTGTGAGGTTGACCTTAAGCAAATTAGTCTGGCTTCTTTAGTATTCCAAATTTTTACGTACAGGCTAGAGATGCACAAGTGGAATCCATTACACGTGTTGCCACAACCCCCTCTCTGCATGAAGAAACAGCATTGCAACCTATGTGTGAAACATGACTTGTTTGAAATAACTCTTGCAAAAGAGGATCACAGACCCTGGGATGGAAGTCAAGATCAAACATGCCCTGGAGTTGAAAAACGGAGCTATGAAGGAATCCAGAAGTTCACTGCTTTTGTAGCAAAAAAAAAAAAAAAAAAAAAATTAAATAGCTGAGTTTCACCCTTTGAAAAAAAACCCCAGAACTGCCCATCTCTTTACATGCTGTTTAACGTCATTTGTGACATTTCTCCAAGCAAGTCTATGAATTGTGAGCAAGTGCTTTTGCTTTTCAGAGGGTGTAGATTTTCTGTGGCGATAGCATCCTCTCCTGAAACACTGGTTTATTAGGTTCTCCCCTCCCTGCTTCGAAGTCCTCTGCTGCTTTTTCTGCTTTCCCCAAACACCTTCAGAAACTACAAAGAAAAGGCAAGAAAGTAGGGAACGTGTGTTTTCAAAGCAATGTTGTTTGTTCCATGCTTTTGTTACCATTTTCTTTCAGGATTTTGAAAGAGTTCTCTACCCATTTTTGAAATTACTCACCAGTGTTCTGGAAAGTTAAGTAATTACCTGTTTTACAGGTAGAAAGAGCAAAAACAGGGAGGAAAGAGCACTGGCAGCTGAAATCACACCCCAAAATGGCAATAGAACTGGCTGCAGAACTGCGGCTCCAAGTCGTTCATGTTTTGCATGACTTTTAGCTGAAGCTTTACTACAGAGGCTTCTTGTGGAGTGATATATGTCTTCCAGGAGACTTTTCTTCCATTCTTATCCTGGGTGCATAGTTCCTAATATTTAGAGATTTGTTGGTTGGTTGTTTTTAAAAGGATTTAACTTGCGTACTTCTAGAAGCGTGTCAGTAGTTCATTAGAGGTGAAGGGAAAACTGCTCCCTTCTTGGTAGTAACACTTGTGCAGTGTAGGCAGAATCCTCTCTTAAAGGCCACAAAATATGTTCCAAATTAGCTTTCCCCACCTGCTCCTGAGTAGGAGTTACATGTAGCCGAACAGTCTTGACAGGTACCGATGATCATTAAAAGAAAGGGAAAAGGGCTTTAATTTTCTTTTGTTCCCATGAATTTCTCTACATTTAACATATCATTTGGCAATGAAAACTCAACAGTTATCATAAAGAGTTATCACATTGGCTCCAGCACCCATTCCCTTGATACAAAAATCCTTTTTTTTTTTCTTTTTCCTCAAGCAGAGTTTTAACGTGACCAGATGTGTGAATTCAGTTGTCCAGTTGCTGTGTTTCCCTCCCCTTCCCCTTGAAAATTTCTTGCCCATTATTCTTTTCCTACTTGGGAATTTTTTGCATGCCCAAATGTTTGTTCATACGTGGCTTCTTTGAATTTCTCTTATTCAACACAGTCAAAACCATTGTCCAGGAATTTCACGGAAATGTAGTTTGTATTTGCTGAAAACATAATGGATTGTTTGATGTCGCATTCTTCATTTGTGACTAATCAGATGATGACTTCAGTGAGTCTGGCACAAATAAGAGGAAATAAAATGGTCTTTCCAATGCCTTTGCTTGGTTAGGTTTGGAAACTAAATATCGCTGTCATAAATGTCTCTTGTGAAGTGGTTCTTCATTCCCCAGTCAGCAGTTCGCCCACTTGTTAAATCTGTGCAGGGAAGTAGGGGAAAAGTTGATTCATTTGTGATGGTTGATGTATTTTTGGTGACATTAGTGGACCTGTTTGCGTTTTGGTTGTATCTGCCAGGCTGGCCGGTCCAATCTCAGCATTGATCTTGGAGCAAAACCTTCCCTTACATCTCTCATTCCTCCCCTAACTCAAGTAATGGCATGAGGAGGAGAGAGAGGCAGAGCAGGCTCTGAATCAAATACTAGTCTTCTGTTTTGTCTGTAAGTCTCTGGTAAGACTTTCTGTGGCAGTTACTCACTAGTAGCTGCTTCCTTCATTATAAAACGCCTTACTTATTTCCAGAAAATGCAAAATGCAGTTGTTCTGCATACTCTTCATCATCGGCGTTTCTTTCTGGTTTAGTGTCAGAACCCCCCTGCGTTGCACACGGGCGATAAAACGTTCTGCTCTGAAGAATGTATCGGTCTGTAAGATGAGGTTTGCAGTGAAAGGGGGTGGGACAGTGAGTGGCTCTATTTTTCCATTGCCTAAACTGAAAAAGAGGAACGAAGACCATGTGGTTTTGTGTTGTAAGTGGTGGCAGTGTGTGCCTTCGCAGTACCCTTGGGGACTTTGTAAAAAATGCATAAGCAGAAGTGATGTTAATGTTTTCTTCAAATTTGGTGAGGTGCTCCTGCCTGCTTCATTGCATGGCTGACACGAGCACCTCCGGCGCCGAGAAGAGATCCAGGCACTTGTCTTCTCCTGAGGTGGAGAGGAAAGAGCCCATCCATGAGTGTGCTGGGGACTGGCACTGGAGAAGGACCCGTACTGCTGCACTGCTGCTTCATCAGCAAATATGAGAGCTTCTGCATTCCCCAAACTGTGGCCAAGAGCTGTGCCACCCATCCATAGATGTCCTGGAGAGGTACCTGCGGCACAGGTCGGACCATGGACCTTGCCTGGGAAGGACCCATTGCCAGAGTCTTACAAGGGAGAGAAAAACCAACAGCTCACAAGCACTGAGTTTATTTTTCTTTTTTCCTAGCTCCTTTAAACTTTTGGACAGAATATGATCTACTCATCAGTTTTATTGCTCTGAATTTAAAAGCTATTACTTCAGTTTCTTTTTCTTCTGATAAGTAAAATATTTTTTCTTCAAGGGAAAAAAATAGGTAGTCAGGGCAAATACTTAAAAAGTCATCCTCAGTGCATATTTTGAGGACATGAATCATCTTTAATTTGGGCTGATGAAATACAAACTACATTTACTCATGATAGTATCTGAGAGTTGACTGTTGCCAAACACTCCTCGTGTATGAACAGGTTCATGTCGTTCTAGAAGAAAATAAAGTTGTTTGCCCTGTCTTAGTGATTGTTTCCTGATTATCCAGGCCTATACTGGGTAAATAGAAAGTCGTTGGGGTTTTTTTAACCCTGTCTGCACTGTTACTTCATCAATCTGATGAACATCTATATCTGTACAGAACATCTGTATCTTGTTTATCTTATTAATTTCTTCCATTTTCATAGTACTTGGAAATAAACTTTAATAATTTGGGGCAGAGAATATTTTAGTAGAAATCTTAGGAACATTTTAAGATTTGTTTCAGGAAATGCCTCTAATATATATATATATCTGATTCTGCCAGCTATTTTTCACACAAACAATTCTTTTGAAGCTGCTACTGTAAGTATAGTTTTGTAGGACTGGATCTACACATAGGTTTCTCCATGGCAATCACCCTTTCAATGTTTCCATCTAAAAAAGTGCTCTAAAGACATTGGTAATGAATAAATGAATGCAGCTTTGCTGATACCTTGAAAGAACAGGGAGGTCAGACCTGCTGATGGTGTTGTGTGGTGTTGAAATATCAAAAGAGTTGTTTCTTTGGTTACAGATTGCAGAAGGCATGGCATACATAGAAAGAAAAAATTACATCCATCGAGATTTGAGAGCAGCGAATGTTCTGGTTTCGGACTTACTGATGTGCAAAATTGCTGATTTTGGACTAGCGAGAGTCATCGAAGACAACGAATATACAGCAAGGGAAGGTATGTATTTTTATTTTTGTCTCTAAAACATCAGCCTCTGGGAGGCAGTGAGGCTGTATCTAACAATAGTATGGTCACCAAGAACAGAAACTGTCATGGTGACTTCCTAGAGGCAGTGTTCTAATGCCAACAACTTTAAAAAAGAATAAGGAAACAGCCTTTCTGTGCTTCTCAGGCTTTTTGAAAAGTTCATTTGAAATAAATTTGAAGAACAAAGAAAACTGAGAGTACTTAACTGCACATAAGTTTTTCTAAATTGAACAAATTAATTGCACAGCCACAGCTTCCATCCCACTGAATTAAATGAGAAAATACGATCTCATTTTCTCTTCGCGTCCTTCAATGCCGTATGCACCCTCCCACTTAGGGAAAGGAAGGAGCCGTAGGGATTGTCGTTGCTGGTAACAAGAAAGCCTCAGCAGAAGCTGGCTGCTTTAGGAACTGCAGCATTGATTTGCATGTTCAGCAGCATTGCTGCCACGTGCAGGGACGCAGGAGGGCTGGGTCATGTCCCTGTTCAGCACCTGGTTGGGAGGTGACATCGCAGCAGGGTCAGGACTGGCAAGAGGGCAAGTCATGCTATTAAAGATAATTGTCTGGCTTTTGCCATGTGTGATTTGCTAATGTTGTCAGGGATGCCTTCAAGAAGCACGTAGTGAGAAGTTTTTATTTATGCTTCCATGCACAGATCGCATTAGGGTAACTTTTCAGAGCAGGTGTGTTGGCTGGTTTTCCCCCTCTTGTTTTAAAGAGAGCACATCGTATTTTCACACAGTCTGCATGGAAACTGCGGTAATGCAGGACAGGAGTGGAAGAGCTAAGGTATAAGGAAGAAAGAGAACAATGCACTACAATTAAGATTAAAGGAAGATGAGCTATTCAGCAGTCACTGGCTAACAGTAATTCAATAGATCAGAGGGAAGAGTCTGATTAAGCAGTGTTCAGAGGTACAGAACCCATATCTGTGGTTTTTAGCTAGCTCTAGACATTGTGTACTGATTAAATGAACCTTTCAGGTTATAAATTCTTTATGACAAGTTTCTTTGATGTGTTTTCTGCCGTTCAGAAAAGTTTCCTAGCTTACCTGGTATTTTGTGCCAGAATGATGGAGCAGGCTAAAAAGGGCACAGAGAGGATCTGCTTGTATTACTCTTCGTTGTCTGAAGAGCTAATGTAATATTCCCCAACAAAGGCTGCTTGAACTTTTCTTATTGAACTGGAAGGAGTTTGCTTTTATATGGGATTTTCTGGAATCAGTTAATTAGACATGAAAGACAGTATTTTAAGATAGGAATCTTGAAGATGTGACTTGCTACTACTTTTGTGTCTACGGCTCAATGTGATATGCATTAGAGTGCATGTTGAAGCTAGACTGACTTTCATTAAAACAGGAAAAGTTAGTTAAAGTCTTGCAAAGTTCCAGGTGATGGGAACGGTAAGGTTGTTGCCTGACCACTGTGCAGAAGGGAAAATAGTGACTGTAATTTTAGCAAAAATTCACCATACGTAAGCGTCAAAAGGTGCTGTGTAACTTTCAGCATCTTATTTGCGCCTCTGACACAGGACATGCAGCGCAGCAACATGCGTCTTGCAGCACATCTCTGCTGGTAACTCTCGGACAGAAAGGGTTGCTAGTAGCTTTAATAATTTAGAGGTATGATAGGCAAGTCGTTTAAGACCTTTGAGTGACTTGATATTGAGTGTTTAAATTTGCTTTTGACTCATTTGAGACTGGACTTTTTTTTAGGTGCAAAATTCCCTATTAAATGGACAGCACCGGAGGCAATTAACTATGGATCTTTCACTATTAAATCTGATGTGTGGTCGTTTGGGATTCTCCTGTATGAAATCGTTACATATGGAAAGATTCCTTATCCAGGTATGGGCGTGTGTTTATATACTGTTACTCTGTGTTTATGCTTTGGTGTTAAAAAGCAAAGAAAATACACAGGGAAGGAGCTGGCATCTGACAGTAGCGACAGCAGTGATTTGGAAAATATCTTGCAGGTAATGTTATTGCTTTGAAAACTTATAGTCAACTGAATGTGTAAACCACTCGGGGGTAAATTTTAACAAACGGACTAACGGCACCATGAACACGTGGTTATTTTTATATATCCAAAAGGTGTTACAACTGCAGCAAATGCTGCGTTGTCACAGATCCCGTAGCTTTACGGTCAGCAGCACAGTCCCGTAGCGAGGATGCACTGCTACGAAGTTCTAATGGTGCTGGGTAAGCTGCTGGGGGTTTTCATATCGTAATATGTGAAAATACTAAGAAAGCATGTTTTCACAAGCAAATAGGCTGTAACAATTTGTCAGCGTCAGCCAATCTAAATAAATATGAAAGTAGACCCTAAAGCAGTGCTGACATACCACTAGGAGCGTTTACTCTTCGTTGTTCAGTACGGTCCAGATACGAGACCACAGAGGAGTACATCAATTGTGGCTGCATTAGGAGGCTGTGAAACGGTTATTTGCTTCATGTTTCATTTTCTTTATGTTAAACAAAATAGATACTAATGTTTCCAGCACACAGAGACAGCTTGCATGAAGCGTATTTTTCTGCACACAGAATTGTTACATCTCAGGCATAGCTGATGAACTCTGGGCAGCAGGCTGCGTTCATTTAAGCTTACTGAGTTATGGAAAATTGACCTAAATTTTCTTATCTTGTGGGCAAATGGGGAAAGTACAGCTATGATCACCTGTATGGCACATCTCATAGATGGAGTAACTTCTGAGAAGAACTCTTAGGATCCTGCAGTTTACAGGCAGTAAAGGGACAGCAGATATTCCATCCACGCCGAGCTTTCCCAGCACTTCCAGTACAGCAGCTCTTGCTGCTTAAACCATGAAAACATTTTCACCACCACTTCATGAGCAGCTGGAATTCTGCATCCTGAACTGCCAGAGACAGCAAAGGGGCAGACCCAAGTCCCTAAAATGACAGTAGACTCAACACCTCTGGGCACAGGGAGACCAGACCTCCCGTGAGACTCGGGCAGAGGGAAAGGGTGATGGCAGCCAACTGTACATTACGTTATGGAAGAACATACCACCTTTACGTACAAAGTTAGAGCCAAACCAGACGTTCTCATTGCTCGGTAAGGCTCCAGTCCCAGAAAGCACTTAAGCTCAAGAGCAGCCCCCTTAAACTTCAAGTGGGTGATAGAGCTGCTTGCACATCAGTGTTTAAACATATGCTCTGGGCTGGTTTTTAGGTAAGGGCTATAAATTATGTGACTGAGTAGCAGGTCCTCCCAAAGCTAATCTAAACACTGCTCGTGTCCTCAGGAAGGATCAGATGGGAGTTGTATGCAGCCGAGTAATGCATGGTCCTTCCCACAGTCGGCATACTTTTTTTTCCCTGTTAGCACATGCCTGTGTATCCAGACAGTCGCCTACGCCGAGCTGGGCTCACAAGGTTATTTCTGGATGCCTTGAAAATTGTCCTTCCCTGAGCAAACCTACGAGCTCACCTGGAAACCAGCACTACAAAAATACGAAACCAAATCCAATACTTAATTCTGCAGCTAATTCTGCTCTCTCTTTACCTCCCTAAAACATAACATAAGTCTATTTTAAGAACAAAATCAATCTGTACAGCAGTACCATGTCTGCTGTACTACTGTGGGAAAAATCTCTTCTAGGAGAAGTCTGGGCAGTGTTTTTTTAAATATGGGAGCATTTTTCTGAGCACCATAAATAGGCCATACACTGTGGATTCATTTGTCAACCAGCAATTAGAAGTGGAAGCCTCTTGACCACATACTGAAAGATTTTAATAGTTTGCAGGTATTGCTTGCATTAAACTGGAAAAGGAATATATGTCTATTTTAAATAGAAGTATAAATTGAAAGTTAATGCTGAAGAATAAGCATGACAGCAAAATAAATGGGTGACCAATTTACTTTACATGAAAAGATGTGACAGGTTTGGGCAAATTACCCCAGCATGGCAAGAGTAACCTGGTGATAGGTTGTAACCAGCAGCCACTGGAGAGAAACAGTAAATTGATTTTTGAGTTCTAATGAGAATGCTTCAAAATATTATTTTCAGTTATTAACCAGCTCCAGCAACTAGCGAGTATTCAGCATAAAGCTGCATATGAAACAGTTTGAGTTGAAACTGGCAATACCTGTGAAGAAAATCTAGGCAGGCAGCTTGGTAGGAAGCATTTCCAGCCAAGAAACTTGGAGCTTATGTGATCTTTGTTCTTAAATTCCAACAGCTGTTTCTCTTCCTGAGAAACTCAAAGCAATTAGTGAGACTATAGTTTCAGGAACTACCACTGAAATATGAAACAAGTATCTCATTCTCTGGGCAAATAAGTAGAATCGGTTGTGAAAACTAGTTTCCAGGTGATTATATAGTATGTCAAATACTGGCAACATCCATACTTGCATTCCAAGTATGTCTGCTGCTCTTCACAAGATAAGCCACTTTTTGTACAGTGGGATTCTTCCTCCATGCCGTTGTGTTCACATCAATTCCCAGACTCTAATGTAAGGAAGTATGTCTTTATCTGTGAAGCTTAGCAGGTACCACAGCATAAATTAAGAGACATAGAATCATAGAATGGTTAGAGTTGGAAGGGACCTCAAAGATCATCACATGTACCAGAACTTTAAAGCTCATGTCCTTTGCTAGCATTTAAGAGAGTGTAAGTGTAACAAATATGCATGTGGGATGTATTTCTTTTACTGATTAGGATGTAGTTTTGATGAGACAAGTAAGTCTCTAGCCACACAAAAACAAAACCAGAAATAATAGAAAAAAGGAAAAGTTAAAAAAGTAGCTATTTTGAGAACAATGCTTGGACTGTGGGGTAGACCGGTAAGCCTTTTTGTTTTAAATAAAACCCCAAACACATGCAAGTAAGTTCATGACATATTCACTATGGAGTACTGATATAAATATTTTCTTTTTTGTCTTGTGAACTTAAATGATTATTTAACAGATAATTTTTGTGCAGGTTAGCTGAAATACAGGCTTTGTTCTGGACATTCAGAGTGTAACAATCAGTCCTGCAGACACTAGATCTAAGCACAATCCTATAAAGTACTTAAACCCACAGAACCAGCCCCGTTGTGCACAAAAGACCAGTAGCAGCAGTCCTCATATAGCAGCACGCAGTTAACTAAGGCTTTGCATAGTATAAGTAATTATTTTACTGTGTATATTATATACAATCCATTTCTTTAAGCTCAAGCAGTCAGATTACTGGTCTCTGTAAAAGCCTTTCTTGAATTTCTTCCTATATTTATTTTGCCTTTATATAGCAGTAATACCTTATTCTGTGACAACATGCCATTCCACTGCTACCTTCAAAATACTTTTTTTTCTACACATATGCAGTGTTAGCTCAGGAAAACTTCACTCCTCTTTCCAGAGAGTTGTGCCCAAAGTAAGCGCTCTGATCCAGACTCAGATTACATGGCTGATGGGATTTCTAGAATAGGTTAAAGCCAAAAGGCTTGAACTGATGTCAACTATATGAACTATAGTTAGTCATCTTGAATAATCTAAGTAGTTATACTGGATAAAGTTGTCATTTGGTTGTAATTCAAATGTGTCCTTACCTGCCAAGTGGCTTAAATCATAGCTTTACTAGTCGGATAACACGTACAAAGACCCACACAATCTGCAGCAACAGAGCTGCACAGTCACCACGTCCTCCAGGGAGCACCACATCTGCATCTCCACTCATGACATGTCCCGCTCAAGAGCAGGACCCATCCTGCCTCCCCTCAGCGGAATGCAGCCGCTCTCCCCCCACCTCTGGGGAACTGGTGTGTGCAGGAGCAGCGAATGTCACGCGTGCGCCTGACCGGAGGCCAAGTTGCCTGAGAAAAGCATGGGAAACTGTAGTCTTAGGCAGAACTGTGCCACGTGGAGCCATTAGCCTGAGGAATGGCCAGTGGCTGCGGGGTCTGGAACACTCTTCTCAAAAGGGGAAGTCTTCACTAGTGGTAGCGAATCTCTAGGCTGAAGCGCAGGTGCTTCCTGCATGCCCAGTCATCGGAAGAAACAGCATTCACTGGAGTACAGAAAGCTTAGAGTCTGTGTCCTGGAGGAGGTGATCCTGGCACAATTACTCCACTGGGTTGCATTAGATTTGCAAAGGAAAGGAGAAGCCGAAAGGCAGGATTTTGGGTAGGAAGTGATGAGCCTTTTTGTTGGCCCTGGCAGAGCTGACCTTCTGAGAGTCGGTGTCGGAATCATTCTGTGAACCAATCTCTCGAGGATTTAAAAAGGGGGGTTGGGGTGGTGAGGGCGGGGAAAAAAAAAAACAGAGCAGGAGTCCAGGGCAGCCCTCTCTCACGTGACATTGGTTGGTATGTGAGGCTCAGGTTGCACTTCTGGTAGTTAGGAGCTCTCATTCTCTGAAAGAAATCCGTAACAGGGAAACAAAACAAAACTCAGCGCAGCTGGCAAGATGGTTTTGCACAATAGGAATAGCACGAGGAAGGAGAGACGGGAAATTGCCTGTTACAAGTAATGATGTCACAAGTGACTATGTCCAGTATCTCGCAATCAGCAGCACTTACACAAAAGCTGATGTAGAAGAAAGTCTCAAAGTGTGTTGCTACATTAGGGGGGATGACTTACGGCATGGTCAAACAAGTAGGCTGCTCTCTGGCTCAGTATGGGTGGGGTCTACAGGAAGCAGGTTAGAAGCTCACCAGCTAAGTAAAAGCTGATGCCAGGGTGGGCATTTGCTGTGAATCTTATCACCGCTGGAAGCAGAACAAATGGTGGCAGGACAGGTCAGAGGAGCAGAATGGAGCTGGTTCTGGAGGCAAGAGTTATGATGTGCTCCTAGAGAACAAGTCTTAGGAGCGTCTGAGGGAATTGAGGTTGTTCAGTCTGGAGGAAAGGAGGCTCAGGGGAGACCTTATCGCTTTCTACAGCTACCTGAAAGGAGGTTGTAGCGAGGTGGGTGTTGGTCTCTTTTCCTGAGTAATAAGTGATAGGACAAGAGGGCCTCGAGTTGTGCCAGGGGAAGTTTAGACTGGATATTAGGAAAAATGTCTTCACCAAAAGGGTCGTCAAGCATTGGAACAGGCTGCGCAGGGAAGCAGCGAGGCACCACCCCTGGAGGTAGTTAAAAGATGTGTAGATGTGGTGCTTAGGGACATGGTTTAGTGGTGGACTTGGCAGTGTTAGGTTAACAGTTGGACTTGATGATCTTCAAAGTCTCTTGAAACTTAACTGATTCTGTAATGCTGTTATTTGATTCTCTAAGGCTGAGTTAAAAGAAAATCTTTTTCCAAAAAAGAGTGCAGTGAGGACTGAGATTTCACTTGTGTTCTTCTCCATCACCATCAGATTCTATGATCTGTTCACAGTCTTGTTAAATTTGGCACTAAAGAGGTCGCTACATACAAGTGGGGAAACAGGAATATTCCCCCAGGATTTTCAAAGCAAGTTCTTCAGTGCCGGTGCACACCTCAGCCTTGTTGATTGAACTCATGTTAGTAGCTACCTTTAATAAGTAGTAATAGCCTTGTGTTATTGGGTGAAGATCTTTAGAGTGAAGTAAATAAAAAAGAAAAAATCATTTCTTTAGGAATTGAGATAATTTAATCAAAACTTTCTTTTTCTGTTGAAGGTATGAGCAATTCAGATGTGATGGTTGCTCTTCAGCGCGGGTACCGAATGCCACGCATGGAAACCTGTCCAGCTGAGCTTTATGATATCATGAAAACATGCTGGAAGGACAAAGCAGAAGAGAGGCCAACATTTGATTATCTACAGAGTGTGCTTGATGACTTCTACACAGCAACAGAAGGGCAGTATCAACAACAGCCATAGAACAATGAACAATTTTTTCTATTGACGTGGATGATTGTCACAGACTATTATTTGGACAGACTGCTCAAACCAATTGCTTCATGAGTTTGGATGTCTTAACTGAGTGTAGAAGCTGAAACGCTGAAGAAAAGAGTAATTCTGCAGAGAAATAACAATATTTTTATTTGGTTAAAGCAGTTCCTCTAAAGATTGAAGTTCTCCTTAAATGCTCTATTTTGCATCTGCAGAAACATCCCAAACGAAGCAGGCTTTTTGGGGTGGGGAGGGAAAAGGAAGGAAAGAGATCATGCACTAGTACAGTTTGACAAAGCCTTCTTAGGATCTAAGTCATGGAATACATTACAAGGAGACCTTTATAAAAAGGAGCGAGAAGATACATGAACGGCTGTTTACAAAAGAAAAAATCATGAAGGAGAACATAAAGATTCAAGACATGGGGGTGTTCTTAAATAATCTTTTTTGAAATCCAGCATATTGTGAAAATTATTTTTATACCCTTGTTACATCACATTTGTAGTTGGGAGTACCATCACCTCTTGTAAGACTTTCTAAATGGTGTTACGGTTTCCTTTAAGGAAGGGTTATATATGTAATTCTTTACACTGAAGATGATTCTGTTTTACTGCTGTATTACTCAAATTTAAAATCATTTTCAAAGCATCACACAGCCATCACAGATGCAGAAGTGCAATGTGAGCACATATGAGGGCAGAAGCAGCAGCATACCTAGCTCGGTATTCAACCTTCAGTTTCGCACAAGGCCAAAGTCATCATCTGAAGGCCATGGGAAAGCACAGGATTTTGAAGGAAGTTAATACTTTCATTGCAGTCGCTGAGACTGTTACCAGTGAAAATAGTTTAACCTTAATTTTTAATCCTCTGTGATTATTCAAGAATATTCCTCATATTTTTGCTGCTTTAATCGACTAACCTCAAATCTGTTTTAAAGCTAAAACTAGCTCTAGCACTATCAAAACAATTTGTGGAAATATACAATAGGATATCACGTTACATTGCAGTGACACTATAGGTTTGTTGGTCGGTATATAAATCTAATTCGTAAGTGTGAATGCAGTTTGTGAAACTCTACATATTGAATTATTCTATCAAATTACTCACCAAAACAGCTGAGCTAGTGCAATTGCAATGTAACTACAGCATAGATGACTTTTTTTTTTTTTCCCCCAAAGTGACACTGGTCCTTACAACTGAAACCCAGTACATCTTCACCACCCCTCAGCCCAATTATTTAGGCAAATGGTACTTTGCAGAAGCTTAAAACCCTTTTGATAAAGCTTCAGTGTGCCTGCAGTTGAAGTTCCGCAGCATAAATATTAATGGCTTTCCTTTTCCATTGGCTTCCTTCAGTCAAACTGTGCAGTTTAAGCAGATTATCATTTAAATATGTAAATATTTTCTATTGTATGGTGATTTTTAATTTTAATAAACACTTAATCTGAAGCAAGTTGTATAGTAGTAATTTGAGATAAAACAAATGGCTGATGTTCTATCCAGAGCAGTAGCTTCATGTGGAACAGGGGAACATCTGTTCATCACCACTAAAAAGATTATTTTGCAATGGTAAATACTAATGGATTCTGCTTTCCC